TCGTCGCCCTGAACGCGCCTATACCCCTGTTACGAGCCGGAGGGGGCGGCTGCGTAGCCGGGGCTTAATTTAGGTATATGGTATTTGTTAATGGCTTGACCAATGTTGTTATTAACACTGGGAGCCTAAGGAAGTAGACGTGGAGACGAACCTACGTATGGCTAACGTAGGGAGCTCCAGGAGGTTGGCTATAGTGGACGAACCTACGTATGGCTAACGTAGGGAGCCACAGGAAAGGTGTAGAGTGGAGGACGAACCTACGTATGGCTAACGTAGGGAGCCTCAGGAGCGTGATATGCGGACGAACCTACGTATGGCTAACGTAGGGAGCCGCAGGAAACGTTAGTATTAGGTCTCGTAACTTGATTGATGTACCTCGAGCGGTAAAGGTACACCTTAGTGGGTTTCTAGATAGTAAATATAATTGAATAATAGAATGTAAGTTAAAAATAATGTGAGTTTATTCTCTATTCCGGGACTTTACAATTGTTGTGTGTAATTGTCGCGGTGTTCGATGAATTAAACTCTAGGTTGCAAGTTTAAATGAGTTGAATAAATAGAAATTAGTTTCGATTCCGCGAAGCAAGAATCTAATTCTTCTCGGTTTTCACGAACGCGAGCAAACGGGGGCGGACTACAACGATTAAAATAATGCTTAACAGCAGACAACGTACTGTATAGTTACTGTGAGTGCTTGAAGGGGACTTGAATACCCGATCTCGCAGAGTTTCCTCGTTGCAGAGATTATCCGAAAAAGGACGTACTGACGTGTAACGAACTGATTCTAGACTTCAACTAGACCCGAGGTGCCCTTGTCGCTACCCTTTTTATACTCAAAAACTAGAGTAAAAAAGTGGTGGGGACTGACTCTACGTGACCCGTAGGACCGCGCCCCTGCTTTGCGTTGGTTTCGAATTTTCTAGAAGACGGTTGGTGTCGGGTGCACCCATCCGATTCCATATAAGGAAATTTTTTGAGAAGGGTTTGTAACACCATATAAGGAAATTTCCAAGACGGATACGTAACACCCCCTTATGGGGGCAGACGGCCAATTGTTTAAAAGATATTAACAATTAAAGTTAGTTACTGCTTACATTGAGAAGCATGACAAACTAACACATATAAATACTTAGCTTCGCGGTAAAACGCTTGACTCACAATCTAACTGTCCACGGTTCAAGTCCATGGTTCCGAACTTTTTTTTTCTTTTTTCTTTTTAATGATAATTTGTCTCTTTTTGAATAACTATTACAACTGTGCTATAATCATTGCATTTATTAATAGGTAATTAATTACATGTGCTGAAATTTTTATAGAATTTAAGTTATCTTTTCTATCCAATACGTTGTAACGTGGTGACACCCGTGCCCCCCCGTTACAATCACTGCGTTTTTCCCACTTTACACTTCCACCTCAAAACCACCCGTAACCCTTCCCTCACCTAACCCTTTCCCCCTGCTCACCGGTGGCGGGCCGATGGAGGCGACGGAAGACCTACAAGGAATACCCGCAGAAGGAGCTACGAGGCCGGCGACAGACCTCTAACCCTTCCTCCAAGGAAACGGAGCAACATGGGACTCCGAAGAAATAGACGAAGCTGCCCAACTGATGCAAAACGTCCACCCGGAGCCATCTGTCGCCGAGCCCGAAGACCTCAACCCACCCGTCATCGCGGGATATCCGCCAGCCCCATCGACCCCGAGCACCGGTGTATCGAAGATCGATAATCGATCTATCCCGTTGCCGGAAGAGGCCCCCTTCCTAGTCCCATCCCCTCCCCAAAACCATCCCGCGACGGTTTCGTCGTCGCAGCAGCGACGGCGAACCGTCAATTGAGCCTGAGGCTACGCGTTAGAGAGTACAGAGAGCGAGAGTGCAAATTTTGAGAAAGCGATCATAAGAGAGAGTGCGAGGAGAGTCGGGGTGAGTCCCTTATCGTAATTATTGTATTAGCGAGATCGAGGCAACGGCTATTTTCTCCGCCCGCGCATTGTTCGACATAGAGACGGGCCCCCCTTTTCATTTTCCAACCACAAAGTTTTCCTCATTCGCGTAACGTAGACGAACTTTCCTGCGAACCCCTCCCGACCCTAGAGATTTCCCTTCCCACACTAATCCTCCTTGCGTACTCCCCCGCGAAGTATTGTACGGACGTAAGTGCCCCGAGACCCATCCCCTGTAAGACACCCCCCAATCACCCCCTTTTCCCTTTTTGATTCAAATCGCCCCAGCGAGTGGCTGGCGCCCAACGTTTGTGAGAGAGAGAGAGAATTGTAGAGTAAAGTCTGCGAAAAGAAATTTTGTATAGAGTGAACCCCCGAAGAGGGTCACAACGTACATTAACACCCTTACCGCATTCAGAATTTACACGCGTTTATTTATTATTATTTGTTTTTACAAGTTCAATTTATTTAATTATATTTATTTAGTTACATTCATTTATACTACTGTGCAAATTTATAATTTATATTTACAACATTAGAAGAAGATGCAGAAGACATTAGTGAAGAATCCAAAACAATAGGACAGAAATTATATTCGTATTTTATGGAAATTAATTGTGTGTGTATAATTACAAATAAACGCTAGTAAATTTTGAATGCAGTAAGGGTGTTAATGTACGTATTGGATAGAAAAGATAACTTAAATTCTATAAAAATTTCAGCACATGTAATTAATTACCTATTAATAAATGCAATGATTATAGCACAGTTGTAATAGTTATTCAAAAAGAGACAAATTATCATTAAAAAGAAAAAAGAAAAAAAAAGTTCGGAACCATGGACTTGAACCGTGGACAGTTAGATTGCGAGTCGAGCGTTTTACCGCGGAGTTAAGCATTTATATGTGTTAGTTTGTCATGCTTCTCAATGTAAGCAGTAACTAACTTTAATTGTTAATATCTTTTAAACAATTAGCCGTCTGCCCCCAAAAGGGGGTATAGGCGTGTTCAGGGCGACGAGCTCTACAAGGTGGCAAAGTTTCATTAATAAGTGAGTGTAACACTTGGGTAGTTCCCCTCGTCGGAGTAGTCAAACAGCGTATAGGGAAGCTGAATTACGAAATCGCGTTGGACGATGGGCGAACGTGGAAGCGCCACATAAACCAAATACAAAAAATCGGCCGCGGTACGCAAGTTCAAGTCAATGATGACTGAAACTTCGATTACAAACCACCGGAGGATCCGGAAACCGCGCAAACGCAGAGGGAGGAGCAGAACTGCCCTTAAGGGGGTAGACACAGGTAATGCAACGAGGTGACATTACCGGCAAAAACGGGCCTATTAATGGGTTTACGGGAATCGGTTATTTGTCCTTATATGAGAACACATAGGGCTGGGTGAGGGCTCATTCGAAAGAGGAAGGTACAATGCAGGGCGGTCAACTCATGGTTTAAGTATTAAATAACAGAGCAGGCGAATAAAAAAGTTTGATGGTTGCATACATTAGTACATGTATTGTTTCATTCTCGAACCTCTTTCTCTCTTGAGCGCCCTATTCTTTTCTATGTCTGGCAGGAATCAAAATCGGCTCGAGCCTGTTGCAATTGCAACAGATGTGGCAACAGCGTGACAGAAGTCTTAATACGTTGCCGCAACTATGCCATACTTCCGACTATATTCGCGTAGCTGTTTGTGGTGTCAAATTAGAATTTACATTTATCGACTGATTTCTGTTTTTACCGACCCCGATGATAACGTGGTCAAATATACCATCAATGCCTCTGACGGAAAATCAGTGAACTATTCTTCCGTCTACAGTAATGCTTCGAAATAAGCAAGTGGTCTCTGCTTCGAAATAAGCAAGTGACTCGGGACCGAACAGTTGCTTATTTCGAAGCAGGTTGCTATTCGGCTTGACTTTGTTCTCGAAACGGGACGATAGAGAACGCGAGAAACGAGTGAGAGATCCGAGGTAGCGACAAATCATAAAGTGATCGGCCGAGCAGCGATGTTATTTTTTGAACAAGGATAGAATATAGCATGCCCTCTCATTCTCGCACTATGCTTTATTTCGAAGCAAATATACCCGACTGAGAAAGCATTATATATATTCTATCCTTCTTTTACTAACCGCTGTCTCTGCTCAGTCAAGTGTGAAATTTATTACCCTAAACATCGGCTTCGCGCTTTCAGGGACCTCTCACTCATTTCTCATACCTCTCACTTTGCGGGCGACTTCAAACAAAGAAGAGGGGATAGCGAGTTGCTTATTTCGAAGCAGAGACCACTTGCTTATTTCGAAGCATTACTGTATATGCAACGTTTAAATGCCCAGAATCGACACCTCGGCTGGATATATGCAACATTAAATGCCCAGAATCGACACCTCGGCTGGATATATGCAACGTTTAAATGCCCAGAATCGACACCTCGGCTGGATATATGCAACGTTTGAAACCCGAGCCGACACCGCAACCGGTTTTCATTTCCAATCCTCCTTTGCTTTTCGCCAACTTTTAACATCAATTTTAGCAAGTAATTATAATTGAAACTATATCGTGTTTGGTACCACTTTAATCACAAAAATCTCACCAATGCGCTAGTACAAGTTTCATTTAAAAAAAGTCAAAAATAAAAAAGTTTTTGATTCAATTAATATTAGTCACACCGATACGTTTCGACTCTTTCCTTTGATCATCGGACCTCTCTCTTTTTGCCACTGTCTGTCCTTTTCTACGTTCACGCTTGGCTTCTCGTCGCGTGTAACCCGAGATTCGACACCTCGACTGGATATATGCAACGCCTGGGTCCCAATGTTTGTTGCATATATCCAGCTTTTACTGTATTTCGAGGCAATCCTGTATGACTCGAATGTGTCGGATTACCCGTCGCGATCAAGCTATCAGCTGCGATCAAGGTACTCGAACATTTGAACGGTTCGGCTTCGTTCTCTCTCTCTCTCTCTCTCTCTCTCTCTCTCTCTCATGCATACTCGCCTCATTCGTTGAACTTCACACTACCTTCCGTAATAAGCAATTGTTTGTATTTGGTACCTGCATGTGTGTGTGTGTTATTTCTACTTAGGCGTCGTTTGAAGAAGGCAGCGTATCTTGCGGTAGGTCAGAGCACCTGTACCGTAGACGATGCAGGTACCACCTCTTCCGAAATGCTCCGACACTCGCCTGTTGCGACTGATTATTCTGCGATTGAAGAACCTTCCACTTCTTATGAGCTGCTGCCACACTCGCCTCCTGCTGACGATTTTTCTGTGATTGAAGAACCTTCCACCTGTTATGAGATGCTTCCACACCCGCCTGCTGCGAATGATTTTTCGACCGTGGAAGCGTATGAAGAAAACGTGGAAGAAATTGAGGCGTATGAAGAAATCGTGGAAGAAATTGAAGCGTAAGAAGAAATCGTGGAAGAAATTGAAGCGTATGAAGAAAACGTGGAAGAAATTGAATCTGATTTAGAAGATTACGCATTAATAAAAACAGCAGAACCACCGCAGTTGGAAGAAAAATCAGTTTCTAGCGGGATAGATTTCGTCGATTTTCAACATGTTTTCAAGCAAATAATACAGCTTGGAAAACATTCAAGTATCGGCTGTGGCGTGGAACACTTCCAAATAATTGGATGTCAACAAAACGGACTTGAAAAAAAGTACAAAGTAAAATGCCAAATGTGTAATCACGTTGAGTGCGTATCGTGCCTTCAGAACAGTGATAACACGATGGACATCAACCGCAGCGCTGTTTCCGGTACAATGATGACAGGCGGCGGATACAATCAACTAGAAGAAATACTTTCTGGCATGAACGTGTCCTGCATGAGCAAGAGAATTTACGAAAAATGCCAAGATGAAATAATCGATGCGTTCGAATTGGCTGCGCAACGAGAAATAGAAGACGCAGGGACATTAGAAAAAGAGCTAGCCATAGCAAGAGGCGATATGCTTCCAGGCTGTAATATACCATGCATTCCAGTTGTCGCAGATGGCAGCTGGATGAAGAGATCATACCGTGGAGGTGATTACAACTCTCTGTCTGGTGTAGGAGCCATCGTGGGATACCACACCAAAAAGGTGTTCTACATCAATGTAAAAAATAAATTTTGTATAATTTGCCAAACCGCTGCCAAGAAGAAGGAAGAGGCACGGCAGCATCGTTGCTTTAAAAATTGGGGTCGTAACCAGAATTCAACTGGTATGGAAAGTGCTGCTATTGTAGACGGATTTAAATGCAGCATACAAATGCACGGCCTGATATATTCAATATTAGTTGCCGATGGAGATAGCAGTGTGTACAAAAAGATATTGGACAATGATCCATACAAAGAATATATGGTGCATGTACGAAAAATTGAATGTACCAATCACCTGCTACGCAACTTTAGTAGAAAAATAAATGAGATCGCCACAAAAAGCCGCTTCAAAGAACTACGAGCTATTGTAAAAGAGAATGCCCTGCGTCTGCGCACTGGTGTGAAAAAAGCTGCAGAATACCGATTCAAAGAGAAAGTAACACTCGCTGATCAAATAAAAAATTTAAAAACAGATATGAAAAATGTAGCGAGTCATGTTTTCGGTGAACATCAGGAGTGTCAACGACTAGCATACTTTTGCAACAAATACTCTGACCCGAACGGAGTGAACTATGTTCCACAATTGAAAGAATGCGGTATTTATCAAAGCATTGAAGAAGCAATGCAACCGCTCTTTCCTCAAGCTGAAAGCTTGTTATATGGATTAAATAATAATGCAGTGGAGAGTTTCAATAACATAATTGTGAAATTCATCGGTGGCAAAAGAATAAACTTTGGACTCAAGGGCTCGTATCAGGGTAGAGTCTCTGCTGCTGTTCTTCATTTCAATTCAAGAGAGTCGTTCAGCCGATTGAGTACTGCTATGAACAAGGAACCGACAGCCATCGTACAAAATATGGAACAACGACGTAAGCATGCATCGCAAATGGCAGCGAAATATAAGCAAAATGCCAAAGCATGTTCTTCTCGATACGAAAAGCAATCGTGCGACAAAGATTACGGCCCCACGGCAGAAAAACCAGATATGGAAGAAGCAGTATTCTCTTCTGAGTGTGAGAGGCACATGCTTACACTCCTTCAGTGGCAAACGATGAGACATAAAATTGAAGCAGAAACTCGCGATCAGGCCAAGAGCGAAAAATGGATAGCCTACCGTAAAAAATTATTAACTGCATCGCATTTCGGCAAGGTATGCCGATTGAGAAAGAATACACCAAGAGGAAATACGATAAAGAGTATAATGTATCCGCAAATTCAATATTCGCGTTCCCTTGAATACGGAAGAGAGAACGAGGCAAATGCCTTGAAACAATTGGAAACGGAAATGGGAATCCATATTCTACCGTGTGGTTTATTCATCGATGCCGTTGTGCCTTATTTAGGTGCAACTCCTGACGGCCTCGTGGACGATGATACTATCGTCGAAGTGAAATGCCCTGAATCGGCGAAGGATTTATCGCCTGCTGAAGCAATAGAGCAACTTCCTGCAATACGGCGTATTTTCCGGGGTGATGAAATGAATAAAATTCATCATTACTATTATCAAGTGCAAGGACAGTTACACATAACGAATAGACAATGTGCTCTATTCTGTTTATGGACAAAGAAGGGAATAAAAATTACAAAAGTATAAAGAGACGACAGATTCTGGGCAACAGAAATGGAGCAAAAACTGAAAAGGTTTTATGAAGACTCCATGTTGCCAGAAATTATAGACAGCAGATTTAATCGGCAGCAACCTATTAGAGAGCCTGCATACATAAAACAGAGCAACAATACATGTACCAGTACACAAGAAAGTACATGTGACGACGTACATAAAAATCAGAATTGCACCGACGAGTGCACACACCACACATGATGAGGTGTATAATAAACGATTGCAATATAAGGTCGCAATGCACCTGCGGGTGCACACAGCTCATATGATGAGCTGTTCTACAGTCTATTCAGACTACACTCGGCGGTGCACACACCACACATGATGAGGTGTATAATAATATCTTTGACGGGGGTGGTGGTGGATCTCTTCACACTCTCCTATTAATTTTTACTTTCAGCTACTTCTTTATTTTATCGGAAGGGAAAACAATTTATAATCTGGGAGGAAACGGGAATACACGTGTATAAAAAGGTAAGTACAATGCCTCTATTTTTATTACCTGTACGTGAATTCATTTATAATCATTATCATGTTGTATTTATTTATTTAGGAGGTCCGCAATAAATGCACAGAAGTACAAATGTGGAGAGTGAAGAGGACTGTCTTTGACGGGAGTGGTGGTGGGTCTCTTCACACTCTCCTATTAATTTTTACTTTCAGCTACTTTTCCTTACTTTGCAAGGGAAGAGAACAATTTTTTCATATCAAATGGAAATATGTATGACAGCGTAAGTATGACACATACTTTTAGGTACAAAAGTACAAATGTGGAGAGTGAAGAGGACCGTCTTTGACGGAGGTGGTGGTGGGTCTCTTCACACTCTCCTATTAATTTTTACTTTCCTAATAGTGGATTCATCAGGAAGTGTAAGTAACAGATTTTACATTCAAATAGTATAAAATCAAAAAGAAATTGTTATATTTCTTTTTACAGATCAAACCAGGGTGTACAGCATGATAGTACAAGCGATTCGGAATCGTCTCAACCAAATTGTATACATAATGTTTGTTCAATAATTGCTTTCAATTATCTTATAAGTGTATGGAGTTCATGTTCTACTGTATTATTTCATTAATAAAAAAGGCTTCCCTTTTTGTTTAATCTATTTATTTACTAATCTAACCATAACTTAACCGTTTAGTATTTTTATATAAAAAAAGATGTTTATTTTTCTGGGATTTCCCATCATTTATTTTTCATTCTCAATTATAGTTCCTCACTCCAACGTAACATATTGTAGCATAAGCATATTTGAATTAATTAAAAGTATAATAAATTTGCACTATTAACCAAACTTTGCGTTTAAATTTTGTCAAGTACAATGCGACAGCTGACTATTTCTTTTACATTCAGAATAGAATACAGAATTAGAAAAAAGCGCCCTCTCGTTTTCATCGGCCATCCGTATGTCTATGGGTATTACCATTTTTGTGCAGAAAAATCTGCTGTAATACCGACCGGCCAAATCGGAGAGGTCACGTGCCGTGTCTACCCCCTTAAGGAACGTGTATATTACATTTGAGGCACCCGAATACTTTACACCCACCGACGTATCCAACAGGAGGGTTGGAAATGAAAACCGGTCGCGGTGTCGGTTCTGCTTTCAAACGTTGCATATATCCAGCCGAGGTGTCGGTTCTGGGCATTTAAACGTTGCATATATCCGGCCGAGGTGTCGATTCTGGGCATTTAATGTTTCATATATCCAGCCGAGGTGTCGATTCTGGGCATTTAATGTTGCATATATCCAGTCGAAGTGTCGATTCTGCGTCCGTACACATCGTTTGTATTCAGCCGCGATACCTATTCTACGTTCGTACACAACATGCGACGTCTTGCATGTTGCATGTCGTGTGTTTGATGCATCTTTGGTATACGGCCTGCCTTATGTTTGGTATCATTTTAATCAGAAAAATCTCACAAATGCGTTAGTAAAAGTTTCATTAAGAGAAAGTTAAAAATAAAAAAGTTTTATCGTTGAATTAGTATTAGTCACACCGATATAACGGTTCGGATCGTATTACACGGCTTCCTCGTCGAGCGTCTCGGTTCGCTTAGGGCAGTCCTGTCCAAGTAGGGGAATTTACTCCTGGAACACATGTTTTGGGTCCCCTTCCAACGCTGCTCCTTCAAGCTCCATTTCTCCGAGGAGACAGTACCGCCGCTAGGAAAGACGAAGAGACGGTAGTCAGAACCGTTCCATCTTACTTGAAGGAGCAGCGTTGGAAGGGGACCCAAAACATGTGTTCCAGGAGTGGATTCCCCTACTTGGACAGGCCTGGCTTAGGGGGATCCCCCCAAGTGGAGGGGATAGCGATGTTGCATATATCCAGTCAAACTTTTGTTGCATATATCCAGCTTTTACTGTAGTGCATAGAAAAGTGTCCGGACTAGTACAGTTGAACTTTGAAAATCGAGAGTACAAGATATACCGCTTGACTAAAGAAATGGGTCCGGACAGGTCTGTTCGGAAGCCTAGTTAGTGGTAGGGGACTACTCGACCAGAAAAATCCAATCAAACGGATCCACTCGACTAAATCGTTTTACTAAACTACTCGACTAAACTATAGTGTCCATTCACTAAACTACTCGCCACTCGACTAAACTACTAGCCGTGTCTGAACCAGCCTTTAGAGTCACACGCTGCGACAAGTTTGACGAAACTCACTCAGTGTACATATACGCAAAATACATTGTAATAGTAGCAAAAGTTTATTGCAAATATCTCGACAATTAAGGCTGAACGGCAATTATATGTATAGGAAAAAGTTATTCAAAATATCAAGTTTCATAACATATTCAAATTTCATTAAAATCGGTGAGATGACACCCTTTCTATATGCAGTAAAACTCCATTTATCCTAACTAATTTCGACACAGTATATATTCGATTAACCGAATATATTTCTGAGCTCCTATTATCTGAACTCTGTAACGTTATTTATTTTTCTACTTGTGCGAAGGAGAATGTGACGCGAGTAGTTTGGGCGTACGATTTCCCCTGCGATTCTCAAGGAGTGGTTCGCGTTCGCGAAGGCAGAAGGAACGGTGAAGTCAGTAATGAGACGTAATTTTGCGGTGTAACAAAATAATAATTTATTCAAAAAAAAGTAGTGACTGGAGTGTGACAAAAGAGCCTATCACAGAATGGTGGAAGCACCGCAAATCTTATGACAACTTATGCGTTGAACAATCAACGGAACGCAATTCTCATCTACGAGATGTTCAATAGACTCGTTTATCACAAGATATAATATACGAAGGGTTTGACTAGATTGATCGTCAATGATTTGTACAAGGCACGCAGATCGGATTCGTGCGTGAATCGGAAATGTAATACAAAAATAGGAACGCAACAGTATCCACCTCTTTCACTTATATTTTATGGCTCATTGTCAGTGTCGATCCTCAGTACAGTAAAACCTGGATAAATGCAACGAAAGAATGCTTGGATAAGTGCAACATCGCTATCCCTTCCACTTGAGCCGCTCGACGAGGAAACCGTGTAATATGATCCGACCGTAATATCGGTGTGACTAATACTAATTGAACGATAAAACTTTTTTATTTTTAACTTTTTCTTAATGAAACTTTTACTAACGCATTTGTGAGATTTTTCTGATTAAAATGACACCAAACATGATATAGTTTGAATTATATTTATAAACAATAGTAATAGAATAAACAACATAGAATTGACACCACGACTGAATATAAATGATGTCGGCTGAATACAAAAGATGTGTACGGACACAGAATCGGCATGTCGGCTGAATACAAAACATGTGTACGGACGCAGGATCGATACCTCGCTTGGATAAATGCAACATTAAATACCCAGAATCGACACCTCGCTTGGATAAATGCAACATTAAATGCCCAGAATCGACACCTCGCTTGGATAAATGCAACATTAAATGCCCAGAATCGCCACCTTGCCTGGATAAATGAAACCTTTGAAACCAGAGCCGACACCGCGACTGGTTTTGATTTCGATCTCTGTTGCTTTTCGCCAACCTTTAACATCAATTTTAGCAAGTAATTATAATTGAAACTATATCGTGTTTGGTACAATTTTAATCAGAAAAATTTCACCAATGCGTTAGTCAAAGTTTCAATAAAAAAAAGTCAAAAATAAAAAAGTTTTATAGTTGAATTAGTATTAGTCACACTGATACGTTTCGGCTCTTTCCTTTCATCATCGGACCTCTCTCTTTCCGCCACTGTCTGTCCCTTTCTACGTTCACGCTTGGCTGGTCGTCGCGTGTAATCCGAGATTCGACACCTCGCTTGGATAAATGCAACCACTGGGTCCCAATCTTGGTTGCATTTATCCAGGTTTTACTGTATAGGAAAGAACAGTAGGATCACTCTGCCTATAAGCGTACCAATAATTGTCGCTCGCGCATGACCGAATCGCACAACCAACAATATGGCGGCTGTGAATATATATGATAATAGTTTCTTGCATTTTAACCTCTGTTACTTCTAAAACATTCCTGTTGCGATAAAATTCAGTAAATTTTATACAGAAATATAAAATATGAGTGAAAGAGATGGATACCGTTGTTCCTTCAAAGGGTGCCAAAGTGCAAGCAGTGACAGCAGTAACAGGCGTTCTAGGACACCCTATATTTTATATCTGTCAAATGATATTTATCCAACGTTTCTTGTACATTTTAGATATAGACATTATTATTATTATCATCATTGTTTTATCAAAATATTACCACTTTATGGGTTGTTTATTAATCTCTAAGATATGCTGTATACATTATACATTTATATATAATTTATTAGAACTTTATTAATTGAATAATTGTTGTATATAATAATTGTATTGTACAGAGATTTCAATAAAATGTGTATTTTAATTAAATGTAGATATTTAGTAGTCTTTTTATGGTATTCTATTACGAAATCTCTTTTTGATTGTACCGAGTCCTTTTCAAATTAGAGCCCGCCCACAACCAGCAATATGGCGATCTATTGGTCATGAGATCAAAGGTGCCGACACGGAGTGAGCCTACTGTTCTTTCCTATACTGTGACTTTGTACTGTACTATGTAACTATAGGAATGTACGGTTACAACTCAGGCTACGCATGATATCAATTATGCGAACTAGCGTGTTTGCCTTGTATCTAAGCATTAAAACAAAAGATAGCGTATCTTCAAAACGTTCATTTACAAAAGAATTATTACTCTAGTGCTCAAATCCAGTTATACAAACATCAGCTCCTATTAAACGAACAGCTGAACAGTAATGGAAGCGGGATTTAATGACCTCCTATTATCCGAATTATCCACTTATCCGAATCGTCATAACTTCCGACCGATTCGGATAAATGGAGTTTTACTGTACGTAATTAGTATTTGTTTTTCCTACAATGCTTTTACCTATTCTTACACAAGAGTTTAATGTTGAGTTTAGCAAACGTTATCACTGAAATAACAGTTCGGAAAATATTCCACATAATGTCCTTCGCGTTGGAAAAAGAGACAAAACTAGTACTGTTACGTAGCGACAGTTATCGGTAATTATTTAGAAAGCGGACGACATCATTGCCTTCGATGATTTTTAAATGTATCGTTAAGCTCAATATTTTGAACAACTTTTTCCTATACATATAACCGTCTCTCGGCCCAAGCTTCAGAGATATTCTTGAAAAGCATTCGGCATTATTCATTGAATTTTACCAACATATAGGTATGCGTAGGAGGCAACATATGCGTTAGTATTGTTGCCTGACTGACAGCTGTTAAACGAAGGACGCACGTCCTTTACAATGTAATTAAAAGTGAATATCATCAATGTATTAGTTAAGATATATTTTTCACCGGCTGGCAACACGTCCGTAAAATAATAACTTTTATTTACGTTGTCAATATTCAATAAAATAATTTTTAACAAAAAATACAACCGACTTCAAAATGCGCTAAAAAGTATGAAATAATTTCTATTTCATTTATACTAATATTCTACAGCTATTAATAAAATCTATTTAATCGTGAAATAAAATACTAAATAGATTTCAACCTTTCCGGTGGCGGCGCAAAATTAAAAACTTTTCTTCTACTCGGAAGATCCTAGTTCAGGGGTTGGTAACACCCGGTTACCGAATGACCCATTTGATAATTTCAAGTAAACAATATTCAACGGGAATCAACATATCCATTGCGAATGAACTACATGTACATCAGAAGTGCTGCCAACTTCTAATACAATCGTAAAAATTACAAATGTTTTCAGCCATACCTATACCGTTCTGCATTATTTCTTACGACATATTAATTACCAAGTTTGCCATATCGCAATCAAATAGTTATTGACAGCATCGTATATTTGGATATTTTTAATTTTACGCCGCCTCCGAAAAGATTGAAATGTATTTAGTATACAGTAAAAGCTGGATATATGCAACAAAAGTTTGGCTGGATATATGCAACATCGCTATCCCCTCCACTTGGGGGGATCCCCCTAAGCCGAACCGAGCCGCTCGGCAAAGAAACCGTGTAATATGATCCGACCGTAATATCGGTGTGACTAATACTAATTGAACGATAAAACTTTTTTATTTTTAACTTTTTCTTAATGAAACTTTTACTAACGCATTTGTGAGATTTTTCTGATTAAAATGACACCAAATACGATATAGTTTCAATTATATTTATAAGCAATAGTAATAGAATAAACAACATAGAATTGACACCATGACTAAATATAAATGATGTGTACGGACGCAGAGTCGACATGTCGGCTGAATACAAAAGATGTGTACGGACTCAGAATCGACACCTCGCTTGGATAAATGCAACATTTAAATGCCCAGAATCGACACCTCGCCTGGGTAAATGCAACATTTAAATGCCCAGAATCGACACCTCGCCTGGATAAATAAAACCTTTGAAAACACAGAGCCGACACCTGGGCTGGTTTTGGTTTCGACTCTCTTGCTTTTCGCCAACTTTTAACATCAATTTTAGCAAGTAATTATAATTCAAACTATATTGTGTTTTGTATCATTTTAATAAGAAAAATGTCACCAATCCGCTGATAAAAGTTTCATTAAGAAAAAGTCAAAAATAAAAAAGTTTTATAGTTGAATTAGTATTAGTCACATCGATACGTTTCGGCTTTTTCCTTTGATCATTGGGCCTCTCTCTCTTTCCCCACTGTCTGTCTCTTTCTACGTTCACGCTTGGCTGACGTCGCGTGTAACCCGAGATTTGACACCTCGCTTGGATAAATGCAACCACTGGGTCCCAATCTCGGTTGCATTTATCCAGGTTTTACTGTATAGGGATTTTAGCACACGAGGAATCGATTGAGACTAATTACAGAGCTGGATCTCTAACCGTTTCAGAGATACAGGTAACTAGTAGTTAGCCCGTAAACTAGACTTGACTAGAGATAATTATCACAAATGACGTCATAAATTGATTCTTGGAGGCTACTCCACCTAACCTAACCTAACTAAACTAATCTGAGCTAAACTAAATTAACGAACCAGTTTTAATTGCCGGGTTTCCCTTTCCTACCCGAGGGAGAAAAGTAATTACTGCAAAGTAAGTGATGCAAATGATCGTTATGTTGAACCATACCTGTAAATAAACGCTAATGCAGTACGAATTTTAGAATTATTTAAATTGAAATATCTCCTAAACTACCATCTTTTCGACATACATAGGTCAGTACTTTTTTATAAAGAATGTCTAGCTACATCGTTTGATGCATAAAAAAGTACCCCATTCCATTTAAAAAAACAAAGTTGACCTTCATATATCCTTGACGCGTCTACGTACGAAAAAACTAATAACACCAGAACATGCTCCACTCGATACCATTTAAGTTCCCTGTGAAACATTTTTCACTACGTGCCACAATACCGAAGAAATCAAGATGTCAAAATCAACTGAGACACCCTGTATAATAGTTTCAGAGATTTCATGCTGACAAGGAAACATGTCGAACTGTTCCTTTCCGATTTTGATGTAACTTGGTGGATATATAAAACAGGTGAAAATAAGGGACACGTATTTTTTATAGCGGCCCAATCGCAAATTTAGGGGGTGAAATCACCCCTTGAAGTTTCAGCAGACAAATGGAACTCGAAAACTATCACCGATATAAGAAAACTTCTTAAGGAAAAATTTCATGATTTGTTTAGGTAAAACATAAAATAGTGGTCACAGGTTTTGTAAAACGTACTTTGTTTATAACAAAAAAATTTATTGTTACATTATTTTAAGAGACACAAAAATTTACATTATGACAAAAAAGAACCGACATTATTTCTGAATTCATTGATATATAACATGATAGATTTCCCTCCTATAGTTTTGTATATTTTCATATAATCCGCAAACCGCATGAATCCGCCGCGATACGGCCGCATAAGATATACATGTACCATATAGGCATACGAGCGGCTATTTCTATGAGATACACATTTATTAATCACAGTAAGTAATTATTCGCTGCATTCCGCGTTATGTCTGTCTAATAAAGGCTGGTATTGAGATATGCAGACATTACGATAACAGAATTATTATCATGTACTTACCATACGTATCTTTATACGCACATGTCTGTGCGGTAAAGAACTACCCATAATATACGCAAATTACAAATAATAGTTAAAATCGCTTGTGTTGAAGATTGATTAATTTTAATTAATGTAATTTAAGCTGCGTTTTGTAAATATCTAAATATCATACGGGCATAAAATATCAATTCGTGGTAATACAATTGAATTTCAGAATAACGTTTTAATCATACTGTTTTGCACACAAACACTTTATGCTAAATAAAGTCAGATAATTATGATACCGTGTACACAGGATATGTAACTGTCAGTGAACAAAATATTTACCAAGAAATGTTATCTGCATGCAATAACATTCTTATGTTTTACCTTCTAGCAAAGTATAAAAAGAACGCGCAATTCGTTGTACTGCAGTATTGGAAGTAACATCGTCCGTCATTTACTAGCAGTGCAATCATATAATGGTGAATATTAATCCGATTAATGTCATTAATCATCTATTTCTTACTTTTTGCACCAATTGTTAACCGGAAAGTCCGATCTTTGATGCGGAAATTCAATTAAAAGAGAATTTGGCAGAGATTCTGCGTAGTGCTATAGAAGATAATTCATTTGAATGGGAGCAGTTCAATCAGTTAGATGGTTATACTTTTCGATTACGATGTTAATTTTTATTTAAGAAACAATATTATTAAGCTTCCATCTCTGACACACAATCAGTTCTCTTCGCCAAGATATACAGACCTTTTCAAATTTTCGTGATTTAAGAGTGGCTATATATGTAGATAAAATAACTTTTAACAAAAAATACAACCGACTTCAAAATGCTCTAAAAAGTGTAAAATAATTTCTACAGGATGATTCTCTCGCTACTTTCTTCAAAGACAGTGCCGCCACACCAGTATGAATGGACCCAAGCCCTTGTCTGTTGTCGATATCTCGACGGGGATGCATACCGTAGCTGTATCCGTGAAAATGTATGTAACAACAAGGAAAGTCCCATTTGGACGTTGCGAAAAACAGAATAAGTTTGTATGCATTTACCTTATGTAGCTAAAGTACACAAACTTATTCTGTTTTCCGCAACGTTTAAGTAGGACTTTCCTTCTCGTTACACACATTTTCACGCACACGGCTGCAGAATGTACCCCCGTCGAGATATCGATGACAGGAAAAGGCTTGGATCCATTTTGGTGGCACTTCCTTTGAGGAAAGTAGCGAGAGAATCACCCTGTATTTCATTTATACCAATACTCCACAGCTATTAATAAAACCTATTTAATCGTTAAATGGTATACCAAATACATTTCAACCTTTTCGGAGGCGGCGCAAAATTAAATACTTTTCTTTTACTAGGAAGGTCCTAGCTCAAGCGTTAGTAACGTATGACAAATGACCCATTTGATAATTTCAAGTAAACGATATTCAACGGGAATCAATACACCCATCGCGGATTAACTACTGTGCAGAGATGAGAAGTTGAATAGCGGGATAGCACAGGAGCAAAGGGAGCACTTCGCACGCTCCGCCCTGTCCCCACGTTTGATCCTCGTGTAATCCATACCATTCGACTTTAGTGGCACGCTCTTACATAGGCGTAGCAATTCCGTATTTCCGAGGAGACAGTACTATTGTAGATAGAATTCTATAATACGAGCCTACGCCCATGGTTTAAAATTCACAGCAACGCAGACTTCGTATTACAGGATTGCCTCGAAATAAGCAAGTGGCTCGGGACCGAACAGTTGCTTATTTCAAAGCAGATTGCTATTCGGCTTGACTTTGTTCTCGAAACGGGACGATAGAGAACGCGAGAAACGAGTGAGAGATCCGAGGTAGCGGCAAATCATAAAGTGATCGGCCGAGCAGCGATGTTATTTTTTGAACAAGGATAGAAAGCATTATATACATATATTCCATCCTTCTTCTACTAACCGATGTCACTGCTCAGTCGAGCGTGACAATTTATTACCTTAAACATCGGCTTCGCGCTTTCATGGACCTCACACTCATTTCTCGTACCTCTCACTTTGCGGGCGACTTCAAACAAAGAAGAGGGGATAGCGAGTTGCTTATTTCGAAGCAGAGACCACTTACTTATTTCGAGGCAATGCTGTATCTCACTTTGTCTCGAAGCGTCTTTGTCAGACGACGCGATTAGTATATGCGACTGCATCGGCCAATAGCGCGTGACGATCTAGAATGGGGGTGCCTGAGGTGTGACTTATCGACGACGACCAATCGTACCCGCATTCCTTCCGCTCATCATCATCTCATCTCTCTATAGTAGTACATCAGAAGTGTTGCCAATTTCTGATACAATCGTTACAATCACAAATGTTTTCAGCCGTATCTATAACGTTCCGTATGTTTTCTTGCGACTTATTAATTACCAAGTTCGCCATATGGCAGTCAAATCGTTATTGGCAGCATCGTTTATTCGGATATTTTTAATTTTGCGCCGCCTCCGAAAAGGTTGAAATGTAGCTAATATACTATTTAACGATTAAATAAGTTTTATTAATAGCTGTGGAGCATTGGTATACATAAAATAGAAATTATTTTACACTTTTTAGCACATTTTGAAGTCGATTGTATTTTTTGTCAAAAATTATTTTGCAATAAAAATCGTTCGGAATGAAAAAATTCAAAATATTTTTTTACGGGACCAATGGGGAGTTATACTCTACAAGATGCAATAAGTTTTGTTCCGATTGGTCCATCCGTCTCGGAGTAATCGGTGAACAAACACAGAAAAAGCATATGTATACTAATCGAATTGAGTAACCTCCTCCTTTTTCGAAGTAGGTTAAAATTTTGCCCCCTCATTTTGACAATCCAGTAGATTTTTGTTTCGGTGCAAATTCAGCACCAACATGTGACACTTGTGGAAATGCTGCTATTATTACTTGTGCTTTCGACATTTCTTTACGGAATACCATTTCTGTGAAGCTTACGTTCCGTAAATTCACAGTCTTCGTATTAATATTGCATTTCTTGTAGCATAATTGGGATAAATAATTCACTAACGAATAGTACATACGCCAAGTATATTTAATTTTTATTCGAAATGAAACGATATCAATTATTAAATTTGACGAATTCACCCTCGTCCAGATGATCATATACATACATAAAAGTAAAGAAACTGGTAGCCTTCTCGAATTTAATGTCTACTGTTTCTTTAATTTTTACCTCAATTTTGTTATTAACGTATATTAATTTCCATGCAACAAATTACTTCCTAATAATGCGATATTGCAATGCATACTAATATAATTATTATTAAGATTACTATTGCAAATTTTAAATGATCTTACTATCTATGTATACATCTATGCATCTATACATATAAATAAAATTGAAGTGTCTGTCTGTGATTTCGAAATAATGGTTTTTTTTTAGCTCATATATGGTTTTTTGCACCTTGCTAAAACCCAAACACGCTTTTGCAAAATTTTTGTTTGTCTGTCTATCTGTCTGTTTAAACGGGCTAATCTCCGAAACGACTGAACCGATTTTGACGAGACTTTCATTGGCAGATTCAGAATTTATAGAGTAATAATTTAGACTTCTTTTTATTCTGGAAATATTCAGAGTTTTCACAAAAATTTAGAAAAACTGTAAAAATCAAGCGCTAACTTTTTTATAGTCCGTTTATGCAGTTCTGATTTTAATTGTGAAAATCGAAGAGAGAGGCAATCAATCACAAACTTAAACAAACTTATGTTTATTTATACGCATGCAATACGAACGAAGTCGTGGGTAATCGCTAGTGACTAATAAATATGTATCTCATAGAATAGCCGCCCATATGCCTGTAAAGAGTGTTAGTCCTTTGAGAGGGTGGTAGCTGGGGTGATTCTGAACAACATTTTCCTTTGCGAAAAAGTTATTTGAAGCTTCGTTTGTGAATTATTAACGAAAAACACTGACCAATCTGAGCGCGTTTAGTGCGCGGGCTCAGGGATGGCAGCGTCGGCTGCGACAGCCGGGCTTGACGTAGGTCGCGTACGAATACTTTCGGCACCCCGTTCGCATAGCACAATTAAAAAATTGAACTGGTTGAACATTTTTAGTTGTTTAAAATGAATACGGAACCTAATCTTTTTTCGCCTATCATAATGTAAAAATGGAAATTCTAAGCATTCTAAACAACAAATAAAAATGATTGAACTGGAATAATTAGTAAACGTTTGAATTGGAGGCTACGTTAATGATGAAAAATTTGAAAACAATTTAAGTAAAACTTACTCATTCGTTCCTAAATTAACTTGCTACGCTGAAAGCAGATAATTGCCACTGGGTCAATGTGTCGGTTCCAACCATTCAACGAGGAAACATGTTCGGTAGAACAGCTGATTTCATCGTCGAGCCAGTGAATTCGCCTCATTTATTGCACTTGATGATGAAATGAAATATATTTGATATATGAAACACATCGCACATGTTCTCCCATGTTCGTTTTCTTCTCCTTTAACAAAAGAGCCTGACCGACACGTGACCATTCTTGGAGGGGAAACGCACACGTACACACACTCACACAATTCAAATGTACATTCACACAACCTGAATAATAGGCGGCCCCTTTCAGGGCCGAGTTTTTCACTTAAACGACGGCACAAAATCACTATCACTTTTCACACACTTCAACCTTATTACCTGAATAATAATCAACAAGTAAACTAATGTTTTACTCTATGTTTAATAAATTGGTGACGTTTTAATATACTACTCTTTTCGCTGTAGCACTCGTGTAACACTGAGCACTCGGTGCATTCGCGGTGACACCGTAGGTCCCGCGGTAACGCTTAGCAGTAAGTTCCGCGTTGCCATTCCACTATTATGACTTGTCTACACTCGTAGACAAAATCGCGCGACTGTCTATAGACAAATCGCGAACTTTGTCTATAAACAGTCGCGAACAATTTGTAACACAGTCTATCGACTTTGTCACGTGTCCACATCTACAGTTAGTCGCTGCAACACCATGAAATGATCGAAAATGCAATAATGGACACAAATCTGAACAGAGACTCATTTGTTTATTTCTATGAACACGCACCCTCTACGAGATGTAGCCCAACTTGTCTCAAGTTTTCCATTCGAGATGGAAGACAATAGACTTGCGATTTTGGTCTATGGAACTAGTCATAGACACCCGGTTTGTTCTCCATTAGTCTATAGTAGACAATTGCGGAATATTGTCTATAGACACGAGTCGGGTGATTTTGTCAACGAGTGTAGACAAGGCATTATTATAATACTCTGTCGTCGAACGGTCAATCCGCCACCGATCTTCTTTTGTTCCGGTTTCTGTAATATTCCGCAGAATTATTCCGCAGTTCAATTTTTTTATTGTGCTGTGCCAACTAAAATCCGTCGAACTGAAGCTAAATCAAGTACACGCGTACTCGATAAATTTTGAAACTTATTTTTTTTCAAAATAAAGCGTCATATGAAA